GGAAATGAGGAAATGTACAGCTCTGGGAGAAAAGTGGGAGACAAAGTTTTAAATGAGTCCTACCCGATCCGCCGATCAGGAATCCCAAAATGGCGCTCTGAGAGCTGGCCGCCAGCCAGGAGCGGTGAAGCCAGGAGGCGAGCGATCGCGAGCCAGAGCGAGAGCAAGGCCCACGTGTTTGGTTTTTATATCCAACCTGGCTGCCCAACTCCACCCTCAGGTCCCAGCCACCCTCCCCTTGGTGGTGATGGGATTTGTCTTTCCCAATGTCCTGATGGCTTTAGTCTGGAGTGGGGGTGGAGTCCACAAAGCCTGTATGAGATTATCTCAGGACATCCTTTCCCCCTAACAATTCCCCCCTTTCACTTTTTGCCACCATTTCCATGGTGATGAAGATCAAACATATGGATGCTGGGATACAGTCTCAGATGAAAATTTTCAGGGTTAATTGTTAGGGGGAAAGGATGTCCTGAGATAATCTCATACAGGCTTTGTGGACTCCACCCCCACTCCAGACTAAAGCCATCAGGACATTGGGAAAGACAAATCCCATCACCACCAAGGGGAGGGTGGCTGGGACCTGAGGGTGGAGTTGGGCAGCCAGGTTGGATATAAAAACCAAACACGTGGGCCCTGCTCTCGCTCTGGCTCGCGATCGCTCGCCTCCTGGCTTCACCGCTCCTGGCTGGCGGCCAGCTCTCAGAGCGCCATTTTGGGATTCCTGATCGGCGGATCGGGTAGGACTCATTTAAAACTTTGTCTCCCACTTTTCTCCCAGAGCTGTACATTTCCTCATTTCCCTTTCCCTTGTAAATAAACCTTTTATTACCCTTTCACGTGTGCCTGCAGTAGAGCATTGATAAGTCCTTTTAAGCGCGCGGGTGAGGACCCACAGTCAGGCACCCCGTTTTGTATCGGGGTTGCTCTACAACAAAACCTCAGGACAAGCAAACGCCTGCACTTCCTTCATTGGAAAGCCTTGTCTTCTCTCCTTTCTCTATCATCTTTTTCCTTTCTTTTTATTTTGAAACAGGATAAGAAAAGAGAAATAGTCTTGATTGTTTATTGTGAACCTCTTAATTGTTATCAAAGGTATGCTTCTAAGCTCTCCTAAGCAGTGGGCTTAGAAAGTATAAAGAATGTAAAAATATCTTGAAAGAATTTACACTTCATTAACCTTGCACTTCTGACATAAAATAACCTCTCCCAGATAAATGTGATACCCTTCCATGGAGTTAATAATTCTAATCTGCTTTGCTTTTTTGATAAAGATATTAAGTATAAGGCTATAGTTTTAATATTCTAGATATCACATAGAAGATTAAAACATTTCCATTATAGAAAATAGCTTATTAGAAGGAATAAAATGAAAATGGAAATCATAAACTCCACTATAAACAGAACTTGGAAAATCTCTATTTTCAATGGTATCTTTTAGAACCTATAAATTGCTAATATTAAAAACAATCATTTTTCTGGGTACTTCCAGTTATTAATTGAGTTTAAAAACAAACAAAACTATAAAGACTGCACTCCACATATTCAGGGAACAGCACGCTAGGCTTTCTTCTGCTGTTTCATCTCAAGGAGGGCTACTTTATTAAAAACCTATTATTATTATTATTATTAAACAGGATACTCTATTAACATATCAGCCTTTTCAAAACCTATCCCCAAAATCATACTTTAATTTCTGGCATTTTGAAATGACATTTTTAAAATTGCCAATGTGCTACTAAACAAATTTTAATACAAACAACATAATCAGTTAAAAGAGAAATGGAAAACTCTTCAATCATGTGAGAGCACACAGAATCTCTTTTTAAATAATATTAGTTACAAAATTAAGAGAGATTAAAAATACAAAGGGATAAACCCATGTTCACTTTTCAACACATGCATTCAAACAAAAATACATTTGAAACTGCAAAATGATTATTTCAAAAATAAGGTCACCCTTATGTTGTGCCTGCATGTGCATTTCAGAAGCAGACCTAGTATTATCTTTAGGTCCCATTCAGAAGCACCTTAGGCTAAAGGTCAATGTTTCTCATTCTAATGGAAATACCAGTCAAGATGAGAAAAACCCCTTTTCTCTAAGAGTTGTCCTTTGTTGTGTTATCTTAAATAAATCTGAGAGTTTACAAGGCAAAATTTAAAAGACAATATTAATGAGAATGAAATCTGTCTTAAGGAGAAATGAAATTGGAAGACATCATATCCACTCCTAGGGGGCATGTAAATGCTGGCAATTTCATTCTGATGCTATCGGAGAGATCACATAGAATACTGGCTAAGCAGAATTTTAGGAAGGATAGCTAAAGTTTGGACTTCTTGTCTCTGAAACTTAGAAATTATTGAGGTATCACCAGAAAAACAGATTAACTATTTGGGTTGTATAATTAAGTTCTAGAGAGGATGACATCATTAGAAAGTAGGAAATGACAATACACAAAGCAAAGAGCTTTACAAGTGGAAAACCATCTTTTCACAGTCCATTAATAATGATAAAGCATGTTCCCTTTAGTGAAAGAAACATGCCTCTCAAGTAGAAACACAATCCTAATCTGCGATGTCTTTTCTTCTCCCTAGTGGAGTTGTGAAAGAAAGGTGACACAGAAAGTTCAGCTGAAATTTTAACTCATCACCTAATTTTATCTCCTAGTTGAAATTTTCATGATAACACTGATTACGAGTAGTGAATGCTTAAGCACTGCCAACAGTAGGACAGATACTGGTCAGCAACTGTACATGAATGACACATATCAGAAAAGGTGCTGGTACATGGAAGAAAGAGCTGAGATTCTTCCCCCATGATCTACCCACTGTCATGGGAACTGTCTGCAGAAATACCAAGGGAAAGTGAGTTTAGCATGGATTAAATTTGGACACCGTTTGGAATTTATGTTAATGTATTGGCGTCCATTCACAAAGGTTCCTCAGTATTCTTTTATCTCATAAAATAGATGACTGGATCAAGAAGATGTGGTACATATATACCATGGAATATTACTCAGCATTCAAAAAAGATAAACACATGCAATTTGCAGCAACATGGATGGCGCTGGAAGGGATCATGCTCAGTGAAATAAGCCAAAAAAGAAAAAGAAAAATACCGGATGGTCTCACTCATAGCAGGAATCTAGAAAACTTAAATAAGGGACCAGGAAAATGAATATAAGAAAGTGAAAATCAAAATCAACAAAAAACTATGAACCAGAGACACTTTTTGGGGGGTGGGGGGCGGGAAGGGAAGGATTGGGGTCAGAATGGGGCTTTTGCAATTGTATGGGGGAATATAAAAATAAAATTTATTATTTAAAAAAAAAAAAGTATAAGAGGGAAGAACTGAGAAGACTGCACCAGGAGGCCGGTAATAGCCGTTTTCTTTAAAATAGTGTTCAATGTCATGATGAGCAGGTGCTTGCTGTGAGCAGAGGAAGAGAGCAGAGAAAGGATGAAACCACAGAAAGAATAAAACACCTTTATGGGGAAACTGCTTTGAAAAAAGGTGCCTGGAGACAAGGAAAGAATGCCGTTTATTGTCTGGGTCCTGAGGGAAGATGCTGAAATGAGCTGGAAATAAGAGATGAAAGAAGTGACTCAGAAGCTCTGAAGTCAGAAGGAGGAAGCATTCCCCTCCCATTACCTGCCAAGGTTAATGAGGAAGTATACAGGACAAGAACTGTACAGAAGAAGTAAGAGGAGTGTATAGAATGAGGGGGAGTTCATTAATTCCCAGTAATTTTAGGCCAAATTTTATAAGAGTGTGTAAATTTTTCAAAGAAAGGTGTCCACAGCTTTCAGAGTTTTCATCTTTTAGCCAGTAGAACTCCATGGGGGCAGAAATTGAAGCTGATATTAAATCCCAGCTCCTAGGACAGTACCTAACAGAGGTACCATTAACAGATATTACTGAATAAATTCATCAGTGAATTTGGTCAATGCCCAACAAAGATTAGGAATCACTGGGTTAATATAGCAAGAGTCAGAATTTAAGAAGAAATTGAGAAAAACTTTAATTCTTTCAAAAGGAAAACTTTCAAGATTGACGATGGAGTTAGAGACATGTATAAGTTTATATGTACATACATGGATGAAAAATGAAGTTCAGCAGATTGAATGGAAACCAGAGTTGGGAACAAGGGAACCCAAATACTTGGTCAGCATGGTGACGCCCTCAGAGGACAAGGGAGGCAGGAAAGTAAGCAAAAATTTAAGATACTGACAACATAAGAGTTAGAATTTGTTGTTGTTGTTATTTATTAAAATGCTACATACAACTAAGAAAGTGATTGGACTTAATAACGCAAACTGAATTTGCATTAAGTTGAAAATTAATGAGTTAATTTTATACATCTACTAACTACCAATTTATTTCAATCACTTTAAAAATAGAAATGTAAAAGGGCCTCCCTGGTGGCGCAGTGGTTGAGAGCTGGGTTGCAAAGCTGCCCACAGCCTCTGCAGTGCCAGTTTGATCCCCGGCCACAGGGCGAGGGTCCCACATGGCGCACAGACCTCTCCTGCCGCCCGCTGCTCCCCTCAGCAGTGTGCTTCACCTGTCTGCCTGTTCTGCTCTCTGCTCTGGCTCTGGTGAATTCTCTCACCCTCCCGACTTCTGACTGTACCCATTGCTTGTATAAATAAATCTTAAAAAAAAAAAAAAAAGAGCTTCCTTTAAAAAAAACAACAACACAGAAATGTAAATCTAGTAGCTTTGGCTTTTTTTTTGGCTTTATTTTATGGAAAATCTAAAAAGAAATCTCCATGCTACTGAAGATTATCTTCATTAGCAAAATAAAAGAATGGATTTTGATTCCATTCCAGTTCTTATGATTTCTCAAGGAATCCTTAGGTCTCATTAACCTCTCCAACCAACAGCAGTTCTGTCACTTATCTCTTTATGCGGTATTAACAGGCTAAAAACCATTCATATGTGTACTCAAGAGTGGATGAACAGTTTCCATTAGACACCATTTCACTTGTTAGCTACTCACCTCAAAATGTTGAGTGTGCCCGCCATCTTTTTCATTTTCTTTGCTATAAACAACAGCAAAAACAATGAAAAATATGATAAAATGTCTGTTTTATAACAATGCTTTTCATACACTGAAATTACTTCATTTATTTTAAAAGTAGACTGAGTAGCTTTAAATCAAATTCTCATAAATTAAAAAAATTAATCAAAACTAAAACCATAAATATGAATATAGTTATTTGTCTTTTATAGCACTTGGGCAGACCTTCTATTTTAAGCATTATCCTTGCTGCAAAATACTATTAGTAAACATATAATTCTTTAAATCTATTCTTTTTAGTTCTTATTATGCACACTACATTAAGTGGAAAAATTTTATTCATACTCTTGAAATAATGAGGATACATTTCTAAAATTACCTTTTGTTGGACATCAGTGCAACATCCTCAGGTCCAGTGCTCTCATGAGATGATATGAAATCGAGACTTTCCATATTCTATAACAAAACAAGGGTAGACCAGAGGAATACTAAGAAATAGGGACTCATAGATTCCCTTTCTTTAAAGTAGGAAAACCAGATAATATCAGATTTAAATTAAATCTCGTCCTTTTTCTTTGTTAAAACTATTAAATTTATGACTGGATTACATGCTGCTTGCATAAAATTGTACTGTTGACCTTTATCATTCCTTAAATGAACATATCCAGCCACATCACAGAAATGGTCACTGTGCCATGCAATGACCTTCTTAGGTATTATTCACACTTCATAGCTTAATATGCAAAACCCAGATTGTCAGAATATCAAGATGGCATTAGAACCAGAATTGGAGACTCTGACCTTAAATCTAAAAAGAAACAGATGAAACACTCATGACTTGTTTAACATCTTGTTAATATATATTGCTAAATGTGATCTGGGTTTATATGTAGCTCATTCCTAGGCTGTAAAATATCCATAAAGAGATATGGAATTAACAACCTTTCTTTCTGCGATATTTTATCTTAATCTTTATATTAGTGAGAATGAAAAAAAATTATAAATGGGAAACTTGTTTTGAATAGTATGCATTTCAGGCTGACTGAGAGAGCTTAACTCTCATTGAATGGCAGATGTGTAGGACTTTTTGGCTGTGAATATGTCCAAAGAGTTCCAGAGAGTCAGGTGACTCAGTACAGAGTAAGTAAGGCATCCCCATGAAGGAAGATTACAAATAAGCAAACAAGAAAATGTTTATAAATGGTCAGTAGACTTAAAAACATAGCAGCAGTTTTAGAGATTTGGACCTGCATTTCACTGAATGCAAAGATAGATATCTGCATTGAAAGTACATTAGGCACAATCTACCTATTCTGTGTCATCAAAATAAATTAAGAACACATTGAAGTAGGGCCTCCCCGGTGGCGCAGCGGTTGAGCACTGGGTTGCCAAGCTGCCCGCAGCCTCTGCAGCGCCGGTTCGATCCCCAGCTGCTCCCCTGCCACCGGAGGAGGGTCCCACATGGTGCGCAGACCTCTCCTGCCGCCCGCTGCTCCCCTCAGCAGTGTACTTCGGTCCTTCTGCCTGCTCTGCTCCCTGCTCTGGCTCTGGTGAATTCTCTCACCCTCCCGCGCTTCTGACTGTACCCAGTGCATGTGTAAACAGAACAAACAAGCAAACAAATAAATAAATAAAACATGCCTCTATAAAAAAAAAAAAAAAAAAGAACACATTGAAGTAACATGTGTTCACCTCCATATTTATAACTTCCCATTATGAAAAAAGCCCTTCACGTAATCTAATTAAGTGTCATAATTATTCCATGAAACTGACATGTATAAAAATTTCCACAAAATAAACATATAAATTGGAGTAAAAATACTAATCTATGCTTGGTAGATGGATGCATTATTTTCTATTCATGATGTTTTGGCCTACTTGTCTAGAATTCCTAATGTATGAGACCCTAGGCTTCATCAAAGAACAGAAACTGGAAAACAGTATAACAAAAAGTATAACGGTGGTTGTAGAGTTAGAATGCTTGCGTTCAAATCTTAACTCCATCATGTACTAACTTATATATAACCTTACTGGAGTCTCAGTGTTCTCATCTGAGAATGGACATGGCTCCACTATTTAACACAGGTCGTCATGAAGATTAAATGAGATAATACAAGTAAAGTGCTAGAGCACCTGGTACATTTCATGAGTATTATCTGCAGTTGAAATCTCTAAGGAAAATATTTTACTACTAAATATTCATTGTGAAGATGTCCCAGGAACTTGAAAGGCAGTGTTTGCATTTGCCACTAGAATACTGAGCATGGATTTATACACTTAATTTATACAGTTAATTTTAGACTAGATCTGAGAAATAAAATTGTGATAACATTCATTTGTATTTACATTTTTATGCATCTAAAGTTTAAGTTAGAAGAAGCTCCTATAAAATGGCTCTCAATAAGTCAAAGCATAACTGTGGTCTTCCACCTAAAAAAGGTTCCGTCTATGACAAAGAATTTTTGTTCCTATTGGAAAGCCTCAATAGATTATCAAAAATCTCTATTGTAAGATGCAGTGCAATAGTACTAAGTTTTCTTAAATATCTAAAACATAAATTCCTAGGAAAGCCCAAGCTTCTGCATTTGGATTGTTTAAGAACTAAGTTTATAATTATATGAAAATTAATAATTTAGAAGAAACAAAAATCTTCAAGTTAAGGCTAAAATAATGTCAAAAACAAAAGGAAAAATAGAAAATAAGTCACTATATCATTATATAAATGTAGAGATTAATTTTATCATAAGATGAAGTTTTTTTTTTTTTAATAGTGGCATGTTTTTATTTATTTGTTTGTTTGTTTTGTTTATACATGCACTGGGTACAGTCAGAAGCGCGGGAGGGTGAGAGAATTCACCAGAGCCAGAGCGGGGAGCAGAACAGGCAGAAGGACCAAGTACACTGCTGAGGGGAGCAGCGGGCGGCTGGAGAGGTCTGCGCGCCATGTGGGACCCTCCTCCGGTGGCCGGGGAGCAGCCGGGGATTGAACCGGTGCCGCAGAGGCTGCGGGCAGCTTCGCAACCCAGCGCTCAACCGCTGCGCCACCGAGGAGGCCCCCTGAAGTTTTTTTTTTTTAAAGGTTTATTTATGCATACAAGAGCTGGGGTACAGGCCAGAAGCGCGGGGGGTGAGAGAATTCACCAGAGGACAGAGCGGGGAACACAACAGGCAGATTGACCGAAGCACACTGATGAGGGGAGCAGTGGGCTAGTCAGGAGAGGTCTGCTGCGCCATATGGGCTGCTCCCTGGCTGGCTGGGAATCGAACTCTTGCTGTAGTGGCTGCGGACTTTGTATTTACATTTTTATGCATTTTTATGCATAGCTTCATAGGTTGCGTCTCAACACTTGCGCCAGCAGGGAGCCCCCCCATAAGATGATGTTAATACATTTTTTTCTTAAAAGAATATAACCAATATAAGTTTTGAGAATTACAGAAAAAAGATAGTCAAATAGAAAACTTTGCAAAAAGCAGCTGTGAAATGTGAGCACATTTTAACTTATCCCCATGGTTAAAAGAAGAACAACTTCTTCAACTGGCTCCTTACCACACTTTAAAAATAAAGGTTTGCCCTAGGGCCTCCCTAGTGGCTTAGGGGTTAAGTCTCAGCACTATCACCATTACAGCCTGATTTTGATCCCCAGACAAGGAGTTAACCCACATATGGTGCAGCAGACCTCTCCTGTCTTGCCTGGTGCTTCCCTCAGCAGTATATTTCAGTGGATCCGATTGTTCTGCTCCCCACTCTGTCTGTGGTGGGTCCTCTCACCTCTCATACCTCTGGCCTACATCCCAGTTCTTCTACACAAAAATAAATTAATAAAAATCTTAAAAAAAGTTTTCTCTTTGTGTTCAGGAAATCTCCAAGGATCTGAGTTTTCAAAAATGTAACACAGAGGGTCACTTTCAATATTGTTCAGTATTCCTCTCAAAGGTTAACAATAATTCCAATTTTCATTTTCCTCTACACATTTGAGTCTATTGAATACACATGGCCTCGTTCACTAAATCAGTATGCAAGTACACAGTGTTCCTTTGCTAAGGTAGTTGGTTGTCCTTATACCTTTTGGGAACAGGTAGAGAATATGTTACAGGTGGCAACTATCCCAAGTTTTTCAGAATGGAATTAACAAGGGTGCTAAAGATATTTATGAGTTCAGCAAGGGAAGTACCTGTTTCCATGGGTGGCACAAAATGTTTTATAAACTCTAACTTTGCCTGAAGTTTAGGGAGAGAAGATTAAGATAAAGGAATAGATTAGTAATCCCCTCACTTCACTGATATGGGGAGAGGGGAAATGGAATGTACACATCAAAATAAGAGCTGAAATATAGAATGTTTTCATTGTATGAGGAGCATGCTACTAGATGCTCAAATGTTCTCTAGTTGTTAATAGTACTTGACTTATGAGAAATGGTTTTGAACTGTTTTTATCCTAACTCCAGTTTGGAGCAAAGAATGGTTCTCTAAATGCGGTGAAAGAACACTTCGTTACTGTTTTCATTTATTAAAGACTGAAGTAATAGAATTCTTGTATAAATGTTTTATTACATTTTTATTATAAGCATTCTTTTAACATTAGGGTCTTTGAAAGGTAACAGATATTTAAAAGGTAGCAAAGAACATATTATGACTGTAATTATAATTTAGTAAAATTAATTTGTTTTTAATTTTGTATTGCTTTTTAAAACTAGTAAAAACCTGGTTTATAACCAATGAAATACTGCCCTATGTAAGACTTACCAGTGACTTCAAACACAGGTTTGCTCTGATATAATTTATTCTGACAATTTTTGGGTGTCAGAAGAAATTGAATTTTAAAAGCCACTTCATCAATTATGAAAATAACCTCATATCTAAAAAGAGCAAAAGTCTTGAAAAAATTAGCTTTTGATTGTGGAATTTATTTTCAATTCTGCCTCTCTTCCCTGTTCTGACATTGAAAATGAGGCTCAAAACCTGTTTGACCACTGAAGCACTTGAAAACACTTGGAGTAAAAACACATTTGTCTTCTAAAACTGTCAAATGCTGACAAATCCTTTATAGCGGGCATTTCAAAACAACAACAACACAACAACAACAACAAAAGCTCTCTATGTACCAGCAGCTCAACCTGAAGGCTGTGTGCAATGCTGCTAGTCAAAACAGGATCATTACTTTAATTGTGAGTCCAAGACAAGGAGAATATTTGATATATTCTCATTACCAAAGGAGTAACGGTTTATTTGAATTTCTATTTTGTACCATTTGCACATTTTTATGCTTTACTGCCTAAAACTGTATAGATTAACCCACATTCAAAAAGAACAACTGGTACCTTAAAAGGACACCTATGGAAGAGTTTGGCCACTGTCCACCCAAGTTCATTTTGCCTCCTCCACAGTAATGAAGTACCACATCCCCAGGAGCAATACGCTGCCCAGCCTCTCTACAGCTAGATATGGCCATGCAACCA